GGGTGCAGTGGGGCCAATTGATTTCAGTTTGGTATCGGGGCAGCGTGCAATCTAGCGGTGCGTCGGTGTCGTAGCATGGACGGTGTGGATGCCAACAATCATGGTGTTCGGTTTCATGTCCAATGTACGTACGTTCAGCACACCCTGCCCAATGCAGACACGCATTCACATGGCAAATGTGTGATCGGCGCGTGCGCCGAACGCGACCTCCGCTTTGCTGCGGTGCGCCGTTTTGCAACGCCAACGGCCTTCGGCCGGGAGCCACACTGCGGTGCAACCTCCGCTGCGCTACGGTGCACCTGGTGGGTTCGTCCAAAAGATTGATCTCTATAGAGCTGCAGCAGCGTCGACGTCAAATATTGTTTTCTTGGGTGGCGGTGAGGCTGGTGCAGCGGCCAAGTTGTGGTCTATTAGCCTTCACATCGTTTCAGCCATCGGGTCCAATACTGCATAACCCGACGCGTCTTGCATAGAGGCCACAACAGTTTGCTGGAGCGGAGATCAACATTGCAGGGCGAATGACGTCAAATCAGCTATGTACTCGCGTTGCCCGGCCCAGCTATTCTACCCGTGTCGTGATGCAGTGCCATGACTTCGTCGCTCAGTCACAAGCCACGCGTGTAGAACGGTTCTACACGCGTGATTTCCCAGAAAGTACAGCCGCATAGACCTTGCGTCTCAGCCGTCGCCCGCAGCAAACTTTCATCGCAGCTCCTTGGCTTCTTCCATCGCAGTCGCTGCTGCCGCGACCCCCGCACGCGCGCGCCCGACACTGACGTCGCGACCATGGCCGGAACTTCTACTACAATTAAATTAATATGTGCTTCGCGCCAATTTCAATTTAATACCAACTGCAATCAAAACGCTCATCCATTGCACTATCGCCCACATAATCTTACCGCGCTGCCGTGCACGATCGCAGATGCACACGCTACACTCGTGGTTGGCGCACCGATGCCACATGCACTCACTACGCTCGCACATGGCATAAGCCCCTACCGTGCCTCATCACCATGACCAAAGTCTTCGACCGCCTCTCTGCGCCGCGCCGCCACATCGTGGCCGAGCGCGCGCACACTACCCTACCGCACTGCCGTGCACGACCGCAGGTGCACACGCTGCGCTCGTGGCTCGCGCTGCGCGCATCGATACCATAGGCACTCGCTACGCTACCATCTGGCCTATGCCCTACCGCGCTACCGCGCAAAATCCGGCTATCGCCGGATGCACTCGCCACGCTCGTGGTTTGCGCTATCGCGCAAGACCCGGCCAAGTCCACTCGCTGCGCTCGTAAATTGCCCTACCGCGCTACCGCGCGGGATCCGGCTATCGCCGGATGCACTCGCTTCGCTCGTGGCGCGCTGCGCGCAGATCATAGATGCACACGTTACACTCGTGGTTGGCGCTGCGCACATCAATGGCAAATGCACTCGCTACGCTCGTACCGCGCTACCGCGCGGGATCCGGCTATCGCCGGATGCACTCGCTACGCTCGTGGCGCGCTGCGCGCGGATAAGTACGATAGTGTCCGGTTAAGTACGATGTGACGTTGCTACAAACACCAAGTCAAAAAACACGACATTGGGAGGGCAGACGTACTTAACCGAATTCGACCCTTCCAAACGCGCTACGCACGTCAAAACACATTATTTGGAGCTCCAACAACGTTGCCGTGCTAGCGCACGGGCCCGGCTACCGCCGGGTGCCCTCGCTGCGCTCGTGCCGCGCTTCGCGCAAAAAAGTCCTTATTCAATTAATAGATAGATGTGTGTCCAATTGTACAATACTAGTGTACACTCCCGTGACCCCACGTCTTGGCGACACAGGAACGACCGTAGAGTTGAAGAAGCGCTTGATTGAAGAGTCCCACCTCCCCCAAGAGCATCGCAACCAGCACAAGACGCGATGTGTTCGATCCGCACAGAAAAATCGCCGACGATGTTCATTCTTGTTCCAGAGTGATGTTGACATCATCATCGCCCAAACTCACTTTACCTTTTGCTCCATCAACCACATCATCCTCATGTCGACCACGCTGCGCTCGTTTGCTGCGCTGGGCGCGACGCTCACGGCCACGGGCCTTTTGTACGCGCAGCTCACGGTCAAGTCGGCGTCGTGCCAGTTTCAGCCGTCGCCGACGCTCGCACCGTACAAGGCCGCGCACGTCGACGTGTTGACGGCGACGATGGACGCGCCCGTCGACTTGGCCAAGTTTGCGAGCTGCTTCTTCCGGTCGCCCGTGTTCCAGGCCGAACGGGTGCTGCTGCGCCTCCTCGGCTACGGCGCGACGACCGACGCCGCGATCGCACGCCTCGATTTCGAGCCCAACGACGCGGTCGTCGTCTTCCGCGTCGTCGAGCGCACGCCGGACGAGGTCGTCCTCGCGTGGGCGCTCTCGGACGACACGCGCGGCCACTCGTGGCTCCACGTGGCCGACGACGGCCGCTCGATCGAATACGCAACGATGTTTGAACCGACGCGCGCAGTGCATTGGGCGCTCGTGCCCTTCCACCTTGTGTACGCCCGCGTCGTGCTGGCCGCCGCGCGCTACCAGTACAACAAGGAGACCGTGCCCACGTACGAGCCGTAGCCTCTCGATCGCAGCTTGCGTCTATCTAACTATTCATCGTACATTGCATTCGCTTCGATCGCGTTCCGACTCTTGGCCCGTGGTTCAGACAACGTCGCAGTCGACGGCGGTGGCAATCCTGGCCCAAGTCGGTGGCGCAGACGTGTGACCCAAGGAGGTAGTCCTCGTCCAACGTATCCCTCGGCGCGTTCGTCGAGCGACGGGCGTCCTCGACGACAGCACTTCAACGCGACCTGTAAACTCGACGACACATATGTAGCAACCACAACAGGATTCTTCTGGCTATTCATACTGCTTGCTACAGTGTAGAAGTGGCTTAAAAGCGGGCGAGTGTGTCGAGGAGCGGAATGTCCGAAACCTTGGACATGTACTCAATGTACTCGCGGACCTTGGGCGGCCACGTGACACCCTGGACGATCGTGAGCCCGCGGAGACGGCCAAAGAGGTCAATGTCGTCGTAGCTCAATGTCTCGTTGACGGAATGGGGCTTCTGGAGCATGGGCTCAAGCTGCACGAGGAACGCGTTGAGCTGCGCGACGTACGCAGCGCTGTTGGCGATCGCGTCCTCAAACGACCCGATCGTCTTTTCCTTCTTGGTCTTGTAGTAGTCGCGCGACGCTTGGGCCGCAAACTCGGCAAAGAGCGTCGCGTGGAAGCGCGGGTGGTAGAGGTACCGCATGCACTCGGCCGAGTCCTTGATCCACGCCTTGAGGTCGGCCCGCGTCGCATCGGCCTCGGCCAAGATGACCTTTTCGCCGTAATTGGCGTCCACGTAGCGGACAATGTCCATGGATTCGGGCATGACGAGGCCCGACGGCGTCTCGAGGATCGGGACGACCTTGGCGCCGACAAGCCCGATCGGCGTCGCCTCGTCGTGGTTGGCGAGGAAGACGAGCTCGACGGGGAGGCCCTTGAGACCAAAGATCATGCGCGTGCGCACGCAGAACGGGCAGTGGTCGTAGATGTAGAGCCGCGGCAGCGCCGGCGCGGCCTTGGCCGCCAGCTTCTTGGACGCAGCGGCGAAGCCGAGGCCGGCGCCGACGGCGAGGCTGCTCGCGATGCTCAGGCGATGGCAGACGTCGACTTGCTCATTCTGGATTCAAAGTGAAAATGACCGCCTCACTTCACGTCGCCTGTGATTGGCCAAAATGAAGATACCGAATTCGGCGCCGACCAGATACAGGCCATCCATGCTGCCCAACGAAGGAGGCGCTACGTAGAGAGGTTCTATGGCACCTGACGCTGTAGTTTAGTGCTTGGCTGCATGTGTTTTCCAAGGGCAAAGGTGGACGTTTACGTGCATCAACAGTGAGTATGTCTGGAATTGCACCACACGCTCGTCAAGATCGGCTCGTTGAAGGTGTGCAGCGGTAGCCAGCGCTGAAAGGTCTCAGTAGCTGCAGGCAGGTGAACGAGCCATGGGCCGAATAGCATCGCCCCGTGGTTTGGTTGTTGATGCACGCTTGGTCGTTCGCTCTGTCATTAGCGCTCTTTGCTGGTGTGTCGTCAGCCAGGGAACGTCACCGGATTCGGCTGGCCAATCCAAGCGCCGGCTACTGTATTATACACTGTTTAAAACCTATGCGCTCGAATGCTCGTGCCACGACACCCGCATCTCGTAGTGACGCGACACAGCATCGGGCGACGTAGCATCGACATGCTACGTAAGCGTCCATGACTGCGAAGCTGTCTTCTCTACCACAATATATTGATTGGAGCACCACGCTGTTCGCTTCGTGTATTGTACAGAATTACTGTTTAAAACAGATTCAAAAAGTGCAATGTCAGCCATGGCGTCGCGGCCGGCGCGGTCGCTGCGCCTGTTGCTCCTGACCCTTCTCTTCATGGCCTTGAGCCTGCTCCTGCTCTACGCGTCCATCGTAAGCAGCCCGACGTCCGAGGCTGCCTTGCGTCGCCGCCATAGCACATCCCTGCGTTCGCGCAGCGACAAGGTCGCGTACATGTTGTATGCGACCGACACGATCACGGCCTGCAATGCGCTCATCATGGCCAAGCAGATTCGGCGCCTCGGGACCCCCGCCTCGATCGAGATTGTGCTTTTGGTGACCAACACGGTGGCGGACGCGACGTTAACGGCGCTCGAGGCCGATGGCACGCTCACGCTCCGGCTCGTGTCGCCGTGGGTGCAGACGAATGCCAAGCACGGTACGTGGTCGTCGTCCCTCACCAAGCTCCGCGTCTTCGCGTACCATGGCTTTGATAAGGTCATTTACCTCGACTCGGACGCGTGGCTGCACCGCAACTTGGACCACCTCTTCGATCTGAGTGACGCCGCCATCTTCTGGGCGCCGAGGGCCTACTACCGCCCGCCGCCCACGGTCGCGTCGACGCTGCTCGTGCTGCGGCCATCGTCCAAGGCGTTTGCGCAGCTGCAAGCGGCGGTGCAGACGCGGTTTGCGACGATGGCTGCGTACGACATGGATGTGCTGAATGCCATGTGGCCCGACGCGCGCGGCGTGCTGCCGAGCCACTACGTGGTGCTAAACGGCCACTTGAACGCAAACCTGACACTGGACTTTGACTCGGTCGACGCGCGCATCAACGCGACGTTCGTGACGCACTTTTCGTCCTCACTGGACGGCAGCTATGGCAAGCCATGGACGGTCGATCGGCACACGGTGCAACGGCAACCCGGATCCCACCCGCGCTTTTACGCGCTCTTTGAAGCGTACTGGCAAAGCCAGAAGCTCTATTGCCCGTGGCTGCACCAGTAGATTAGATGAAATACGACATAAAGGGCACACAAGTCGATTACGTTTAGAGAGTTTTTTCTCGCACAGATAGAGAATACGGTCTTCACTGCCGTATTCTTAGCCCCGGAGAGCTCGAGGGGTGACACCGCTCTTCCCGGTCTTGCCCTTTGGGTTGGACTCGACTTTAGCGTTGCCAGTCGGTTGATCGACGTTGTCGCGGGTGGCACCGGTGCTGCTGGAAATCTTGAAGATGTCTTTGGTTGGGCCAGCGTCACCCTTGACGTTCGGGTTGGTGTTGCTGCTGACGCTCGAACGCATTTGCTCGGCGGCCACCAAGGTGCCAAAGAGAAGAATTGAAAGGACTTTCATTGAGTGCTGTTGGCGGCAAAGTAAATTGTGTTCTGACGTCTGGTCGGTGCTGGGTTGCCAAGGGTCACGGAGGCATTCGCGCGAAAAGCTTCGAAAGATATGCTTCATTTGGGTTGTTAGAGTAGTCATCGTGGAAGGATACGCTTCTTTGGGTTTAGAATGGACCTCGGTCGCGACCTACCCCTGACCTACCTTGACCCATATCTCTCTATCGCGTCGGCAAGAGCTCGCGGTCCGTTTCATGTGGCTCCGCGTACTCGTTACTGACTCCCTGCATCGTCGTCGAGAGTCAAAATGTAACAATCCCGGCGCTTCGATTACTGCCAGCAGCTACATCATCGAATCTTCGCTGCTCGTTGGCTCGTTGGTGTTTTGGCGGGAAGAGTGCAATCTCGTATCCGGAAATGGCACCATATCCGGAGTAGCGACGTGGCTGGGTTGACTCTGCCCTTTCCGATGGCTGCAGCACCCGCCAACACCAACGAGGAGAGCTCGTGGTTCACGTCGCTCGTGCGCGCCGGCCTCATCTGGTACGGCGTCAACAAGGTCACGTCCGTGCTCTGGGGCAGCGCCGATGCGCCGACGACGACGTCACCCGCGCCCGTGACAGGGCCGTCCATTGGCTTCCAAGCGCCGCCGCCCTCGAGCATCCAGGCCTTTGACACGACGCTCAACCCGTTCGCCAAGTTTTCGCCGCTCACGCCGACCAACGAGCCGCTGCCGGGGCACCGCAACACGTTTGCGTACGGTGTCTTGACCAACATCCAAGTGTATGCGACGCCGTCGCCGACGTTCTCGTTTGACGACGACGACGCGTCGCTGGTCTGGGACCTCCCGTCGGTCCATTACGGCTTCCTCGAGGTGCCCATCGAGCACAAGCGCCATCTCAACTGGACCATGACGCCGTACTTGCTCAACAATGGCACGCTGCACGCGCACGTCTTCTTCACCAAGGCCGGCTACTCGCCCAACCCCGCCGACGAGAGTATCTCTATTTCTCTTGTAGCGCATATTTGGCTCATACGCACATTGTCTAGACTACGACGAGCTCGCGACCGTCTACAAGCGCATTGAAATGAACACGTACCGTCCGCGGGCCAAGGTGACCAAGCAGCGCAACCTGTGGCAGGCCGACGAAGCCGCCGAGAACGACCAGGAAATGATGGCGGTCGTTGAAGAAGACACGACTTATGTCTCGCATTGGAAGCCGACCTTGACGATCCACGTGCTCGTCGACCACTCGGTGTACGCGCGCGGGCAGCCGCCGCAGCCGTTCGTGGCGCCGTACCTCCAAGTCGACCCGATTTCGGGCAACTACCTCCCGGTGCTGCACCTCAACGAGTTCTGGCTCCTCGACGAGCAGCTCTTGCCGATCAACGGCTCTGTCTCGAGCCTGCCGCTCGAGGTCGAGTTTGCGGCCATTGGCATGACGAAATTTGCGCTCTACCATCAGATGGACCAGTCGTTCAAGATGCAGCAGAGCATGGGCACAAGCTCGAAGCGGGACACGGATGCGATGAAGAAGATGTTCATCGACACCAACCCGTACCTCCTCGCGGTCACATTCGTCGTGTCGATCTTGCACACGGTCTTTGACATGCTCGCGTTCAAGAACGACGTGAGCTTTTGGAAGTCGCAAAAGTCGCTCGAGGGCCTCAGTCTCCGCACCGTCGTCCTCAACGCGTTTTTCCACCTCGTCATCTTCCTCTACCTTGTCGACAATGACACATCCTGGATGATCCTCTTCAGCTCGGGCCTCGGCGTCGTCTTGGATTTTTGGAAGATCAAAAAAGCCATCAAGATCAGCCGCGATGAGAACGGCAAGCTCGTCTTTGCCGGCGAAGACAACTACGTGTCGTCGTCGACCGCCGAGCACGACCGCGTCGCCGTCGCGCATGTCTCGTACATCATGTACCCACTCCTGGTCGGCTACTCGCTCTACAAGCTCATTTACGCCGAGCACAAGGGCTGGTACTCGTGGGTCCTCTCGAGCCTCACGAGCTTCGTCTACGCCTTTGGCTTTATCATGATGACGCCGCAATTGTACATCAACTACAAGCTCAAGTCGGTCGCGCACCTTCCGTGGCGCGCGATGGTCTACAAGTCGCTCAACACGTTCATCGACGACCTCTTCGCCTTTGTGATCACGATGCCGATCATGCACCGCCTCGCGTGCTTCCGCGACGACATCATCTTCTTCGTGTACCTCTACCAGCGCTGGATCTACCGCGTCGACAAGTCGCGCGTCAACGAGTTTGGCCAAGGCGGGGACGAGCCAACGACGACGACGACGACGGAAGCGCCAATGGCGACGATTCAAGACCGTCCGACGGAAGAAGAAAGCACGACCACCCAACGCCGGTCCAAGACCGACCGTGTGCCGCAGTAGACATGTGCATCGTTTTGTGATTTTCAAGCAGCTTACCGCTTCCCTTTTGTCGCGTTTTGTTTGATTTTCGTCTTCTTCTTCTTCTTCTTCTTGTGCGCCGCCTTGAGCTGCATGCGTGTTCGGTACCCGCGAAAGTGGGCCTGGATCTTGGCAATGTACCGAAATGCCATGGCGTCCTTGGACTCGCGCAACTAGAAGAGAGACGGTTGGGCCAGGGCTAGGGTAGGGTTCGGGGACCTTGCGCTCGTCGTCCCAGCGCGCCAAATCGGCGGCCGTGCGTCGGTCGTTCTCGTCCATGACGGCAAAGTGCTCGACGAGCCGGTCAATTTCTGCGGCGTCCGACGCCCCGCAGCCCGCATCGCATCGATGTCCTCTTGCAGCGCCAGCAGGTCCTGGTCGTACCTCTCCAAGAGGCTGCCGAGCTCGACGGCGCCTTTGAGCTTCTTTTTTCGATGGCCCGACTCGACGTAGTGGTGCTGGTCCTGCACTTGGCCTTGGGCGACGTTGCGTGTTGACACTTCGTCGCGGATCCGTGCATTCTACATGGCACGCAACTCAATTTGCAAGCGATCGAATGCTGCCGTACATCTTCTTCAAACGCGTTGAGGAGACCAAACTCGGCTTGCTTGGCGTCTTGGTCGATGAGCGCGTTGGCTTGTTCTGTGCCATGGTTGATGTCGTGGAGCTCCGCTACACGAGGTGGGTTGAGGCCATCGACATGTATGGCGCGTACTTTTGAGGGCGAGAATTTTCTTGAGATTCTGTCGACTCGCCGCGTCGCGGGCCTCGTGCTGCGCGCGAACTTCAAACAGCATTTGCTTGTAGTCGTGCTCGGCTTCGCGGATCCGGACCTTCATGTCGCTAAGGAGTGCACGGTGCACGTCGTCTTCTTCGACCGACGTGCTGAGCGTGGCGCGGACACGGTCCCGCACGGCAGCCACATGCCCCGCCAACGCCGAGAGGCCGGGTTCATTGTTGGTGCTTTGGTTGTTGTAATTGCTCTTGTTGCTCGTGTGCTCCGCCTACGGGTGCGCTGGCTACACCGCAGTAGAGGTACGTCGTTGTCCATACCAACAAGACACTTGCGCCCTGCGCGTGCCGATACAAGGCTCGACAGAGCGCGCGGGTGGTCGCCTTGGCCAAGCTGAACGCCGCGTCGTCGGCCTCGGAATTGAGTTCGATGCGATCTGGCTGCGTCAAGCGCCGAAGCAAGTCGTCTTCCGCTAGAAAGTGGTTGTCGAGAGCGAAAGCGGCATCGCCGTCGAGCTGGCTACGGACAGTCTTGAGCGCGACGGCAGCGAGGTGGTTGCTGTTGACGTCGAGTGTCGGCGCGGGCACGGTCGCGAGCAGGTGGAGCTTCTCGATGGCTTCGCTGAGCAGCGAGAGCACCCGGTCACTCTCGACACAAGTAAAGCGGCTCATGCCGCCGACATGCGACTGCCGTTTCGCAAGGGCTCGATCAAGTAACCAACCACATCATTTGATATATTGATGCATTTGATTCGAGACATTTTGTCTGCAAGTATGGACATATGACCTCGATATAAAGAGGACGAGAAATGCGGGGCGTCGAAAGCAGCTTGAACGCGAGAACTGCGGTGCTACGAAAGCTCGAGAGATCCACCAGAACGCTACCGTACATGACAGAAAGGCATAGTGCAGGGACCGATGCCATCTCTCCTTGGACGGCGCAGCGCTGGAGGCGATACGCCGTCTATCTCGTTGGCCCTTCTCCGCTCAATCCTCCACCATGCGACCACAGAGTGCATGCACACGGTCGCCAGGGCTGGCTATATGACCCACGCGTCCAATGCAACGAGTGCTGACCGCAGCTGGTTGTAGCTCCGAGGCCATTGCGCCCTTGAAGTATGGCGCTGCTCTCTGGGTCCCTTCTTGCGTGGCTGATCAGTGCGTGGATCGGTATCCCTGGCAAATCGCCATTCGTGATTGGCTGGATTATCCGCCAATCACAGCCGACTGAATCATCAATATCATCATTCTGGCCTTTCTGGTACTGTAGCCCGATGGGAGGGGGCGTCGCATGGACCAAGGGCAGCACGCTCGGCTTCACGCGCTGGAGCCAAGAGCCCTTCGAGCTCTCACCCGTCGACCTCGCGAGCTTGGACATCCCGGTTCTACCCGGCCAGCCAACGACAGGGCTGCTGCTGCGATATCGTGGCCACTCGCTGCTCGTACACCATGCGACCGCTGTCGCCAGCGACGACGCGACCAAGCGCATGCTCGAGCTCGTGGGCCGATCGCTCGACAGCGTGCGCAAGGCCAACAAGTACTTTACAGCGGCGGCGACGTCGTCCGTGCGCTTTTACGTTGGGTCCGAGGCCGAGCGCGATCAGTGGCTGCAGCTTGTGCTCCTCAACACACAGGTGCAGCCACCTGTTGCAGCGCCACCCGCGCCACTTGAGCTTCCAGAGCTCCCGTCGACATTGAGTGCGACGCCGACACCTCGCCGCCTCAACGAAACGATCAATGACGGCTTCCAGAGCTTGGCGACGGCCGCATCCTGCGAAGACGCCAAGGACACGCTTGGCGCCCTCGCTGCGTACCGAGAAGCCCATGCACTCTTTATGCAAGTACACCCGCAGCTACCGATGAACAAGACGCGGGAACTCATTGTGGACAAGTGCAGTGAGATCCAGGCTATCATCGACGACTTGATGGCCCCCCGACCTGCGACAACGACCGCCGAAGCGCCGACGCCGCCACCACCGGCGCCATCTGCCGCAGACGTCCCATCGTCACAGCATGGCATCGCTGCTCCACCATCAGCACCGCCGCAAATGCCCGCCAGCCTCGACCTCGACGAGCGACTTGGTCGTCTCCAAGGATTCGCTGATTCGCTGCAGGTGGAGAAGGCACGCACCGAGAAGAGCACGAAGAAGTCCGACTTGGAGCTTCGTTTTGCAGCGTTGAAGAACGAGGCGAGCCGCGCACCACCGCTCGAGTCGCTGGAAGCGCGACTCAGCAAGCTTCGGGGTGGTACCCCTAGCCCTGTGGGCAATGCTACCGCCGTGACTGCCATCGACGTCGCCCTCGAGCACGCCCTGAGCGGTGAGGACGAGGGCCTGAAGGCGGCGCCACTCGATCGCCAGGTCGACGACCTCATCACGCTGGTCCAGCAGGAGATCGCACTGGGGATCCAAGACGATCCGCCACGCCTCTCCCTCGACAGCAGCGAGATGGATGAAGACGAACAGCTGAGCAGTCGTAGCTCGGAATCGGACGACGACGACGACAACGACGACGAGGATGCATCGCAGTCCGCCAAGCATAGACGACACGTCCCTTTTTTAAACAAGGAGTAAACGAGTGACGATTGTGGTGCCTACAAGGTCGCTATGGTCATGGGCGTTTCAAGCGAAAAGTGCGTCGGCGTGAGAAGCGCGCCATGCTTCTCGTCGTGCTCGCGACGGGCGGCGCGCCGCATGTACGCGATGACAGCAATGGCGACCACCGTGGCCGCCCCCGCGACGATCAAGCCAAACACAACGGCAGGGCTCTCGTATGTCATTTCGCGGGTGTCGGCCGTCAGCGTCGTCGTCGTCGACGATGCTTGCGATGCGATCGGAGACGCCTGAGATGCTACGGGGGACGCTGCCGGCGATGGGAGAATGGGCAGTGATGCGACCACGGCTGGCACAAGACAGGTTGTCGTTGTCTGTGCTCCGACCGTAAGGGTGACGTCGACGACCGATGCATGGACCGTCGTATCAAGCGTGGTACCGCGAACACCGATGCTGTTGGCGCCCGACGGCAGCGCCAAATTGAACACCTGCGACGTGAGCGTCCACGTTGGCATCGAGGCATTTTCGACGGCGTGCGCGATGCAATTCCACGCATCGGAAACAGAGGCCACGTGGGCCGCCCGGACGTCGAGGCGCCACGCGGCCGATGCCTGCGCCGTGAGGTAGACGTGGAGAGCAAACCCACCGGGCCAGACTGATAAAGCGTACGTGGCATCGGCGCACATGTCTTGGGGTGTCGTGGCGGGAGTTAGCGTCACTGGTGGCGTCGAGGCCACGGGTGTCGTCGTTAACGTAGGCACCGCACTCGTCGTGGGTGTAGGCGACGATGCACTTGAACCGGGCGTCGATGCGGGGGATACCGATGTCGGAGTCGGTGTCGATGTCGGTGTCGGTGCTGGTGTCGGTGTTGGGGTGGTGAGCGGCTTTGGTGCAGTAGACGATGCTGGTACGGGCGGTGACGTACTGGGATGACCACTTGGGGTACCCGAAAACTGCCGTGTGCCAACAAGGGTCTGACCAACCGCGAGCCCTGGAAGGGTATCGAGGACAACTTGTCCATCTGTCGACGTCACGCGCACGTCGAAGGGGCCCGGCGGAAACGCAGACGCGAATTCGCCAACGAAGAGAAACGTCGTGATGCTGTTTTCAGACGGCGGCGACAAGCGGTGCCACGTGTCGTCATTGGCCGTCTTGACCTCGAGCGACGCAATCGGAGCGCCAAAGTTGCGGGGTTGGAGGCCGACCCAAAAGTTGTTGGAGCCTCCGTCGACGAAGTACTCGATCGGGCCCGACACGTAGTCGGTGGGACACGGCACGAAGTCCCATGCGATCGACACCCGCGTCGGGTCGAGACCCGTGAGCGCTGCGAAGGCTACTCGTCATCATTCGACCTCGATCGCGAGATTGCACTTTTCGGTACCTTGGTTGGAAAAATCGAGGGACCCGTGATGGCACTCGGGGCACTGGTTGGTGAGAAGCACGACGACAGACGACCCTTTGCACGCGGCGCTGGTGCACTCGACCCGCGCGCACCGGCCGCAGTTCATCGCATCGTCCCACTGCGGCGCATTGATGGCAGCAAAGTACGTCATGCCAGCACTCTTGCCCGAGCCCCAGAGCGATGTAAAGCCGCAGTTACCGCCAACCCAGTCGCTCGAGTACGCCGTGCCGTCGCCCGTAAAGCTGGTTGGTTGCGCCGAGACCGCGCGGAGCAGAAACAGTGGCAGCCAGAGCCGACTCTGCATCCCAATATACTGCAAGAAATGAGGAATGACGACGTCGCCCGCGCGACGTGCGATGCTATAAATATTGGCCGATCCAACATCGCGTCGTCGTCGTCCATCTTGGCCAAGATACGTTCTCAACCAAGATGGCGCCACGGTGTGCACAATAATTGTAGTAGTATATTTATAGTTATGCGATGTTTATGGATTTTGTTTTGATCGTGTGTCCAACTTGTCGTCGTTGATCAACGAGTCAACACCGATCCGCGTCGTCGTCGTCATTGGTGAGGCTGCACTGGGAAATGAGTGCCTGAAAGTCCTTGATCGCATCCATCATGTTGGCGGCGGCTTCGGCCTTGTCGCTCAGGAGCGGTCGGCGGAAGCGAAGCACGACCGGCTTGGTCGCCCACGCCTCGTGGGTTGTCCGCGGCGACACTTCAACACCGTTGACGCGCAAGAGGACGTCGCCGTTGCGCATGTGGTGCCCGCCGATCGCGGTTTTGCGTCCGTCGAGCACGAGGTTGCGGACGGCGAGCACGTTGTGGCCGACGCGCCCGAGCGTAAAATTGAAATCGCCATCAAAGAGCGTCCACACGACGTCGTAGAGCACTTTGGGCAGCCGCGTCTCGAGCTCGACCAACGACGCGGCGTTAGACATCGTCATCGAGCGGCCCGACGTCGTCGCCGACATGACGTCGAGTGTGAACGCGACCTTGCGCTCGTCCCGAAACGCAATAATGGACGCCATCGCGTCGTAGGCCGTCGTGCCAAGCACCGAGCAGCCGTTGATGTTGATGAGAAAGTCCATTTCGCGCACGCCGTGGTGGAACGCCAGACCCTTCTCGTCGACGTACGAGAGCACGATGCCGCCGTCGGCCGAGCCCACGAGCTGGATGCCGAGCTGCGCCGACGGCGGACACTCGAGGTGGATGTTGGGGCGCAGCATCATCAAGGCGTGTCGTCGTCCCAAGCAAACGCAGAATGCCGGTGCTTTTGTCAATCGTGCTTCTCCCCCGGCGTAAAATCACCTACCCCTGACCTACCCCTATCTTGTCATACAATATCTATCTATCTATCTATCTATCTATCTATCTATCTATCTATCTATCTATCATCTATCTATCTATCTATCTATCTATCTATCTATCTATCTATCTATCTATCCTACGTGTTTGAGAAACACTGCGACTTGACTGCAAGTACGTACTAGAACAAGGCCGGAACCGGAGCGTCAAGGATGCGCTGCAGCCGTGACATGAAGCCGTGGTGGACCCACCGTCGTCCAGAAGGTCAATCAAGGATTCATTAAGTGTTTCTGGACCGTTGATTCAATGGTACGATACATCATGCGAGTGACGCACATGCGCGAAATGAGGAGGTAGGTTGCTTAAAGTACTATCATTTCAAAGTAAGTGTTATCGCGCCATCCTCCTCTACGGGGCGTGCTATATAGTGGTGGGGTTGTTTAGATCCAGACGCCGTCGTCCCCTTCCTCTTCTTCGTCCGAGTCCGAGTCGTCGTACTTGCTCGGGTCCAGCATCGACATGCGCTCGTCGGCCTCCATCGTCAGCTTCTTGAACAAGTTGATTTGGTCGTCGCTGAGACCGGTAAACTCGGCAATGTCCCCGTCACCCATCATGATCATCGACATGCGCGCCTGCTTGACGACCTCGTGCGCTTCCTCGAGTTGCTTGGCCATCGCAAAGTTCTGCTCCTCGCGGGCCCGGAGCAGCTCGGCGTCCTTGTCAAACTCGTCGTCTTCCTCTTCTTCGTCGTCCATCGTGTAGTGGTGCTCGTCGTCGTCGAAGCTGCTCACGCTCATCTTGGACGGCGACCGATGGCTGTGGGACTCGTCGTTGCCAAACGTCTTGCGCATCGGCGGCTCGGGCGTCGACACCTGTCGCATCTTCATGTGGCTGTCCGAGCGCGACCGCTGCAAGTCGGGCTTGTAAAAGTGGGCAAACTCGGACGGCGTGTCATCGGTCTCGTCCGCCGCTGCGGCTTCGTCGCCCTCTTCAATGACAAGCTTCGGGTCGTCACCCGCCGACATGCGGATCGACTGGAGGTCCTGGTCCGAGCGTTCGCGCTGCGCCTGGAGCTTTCGCGCCAGCTCTTCCTTGCCATCGGCCCGCGCCTTGTCTTCCTCGGCCTTGAGCATGCGTGCAAGCTCTTCCTTGCCGCGCTTCTCCCGCTCCATGCGGTCGCGGTCGCTCGAGCTCGACGACCGGTGGCCGTTAAAGTGGTGCACCGGGTTCCCACCGCTTTTCCGCATCTCTTCGAGCTCGTGGAGCATCTTTTCGGCTTCGAGGCGCGCGTTGCGCTCTTCTGCCTCGTTGATGAGGTGGTCTTCGCGCGTGCTCGGGCGGCGAAAGTGGGTGCTTTTGGGCACCGGCGCCGGCGTCGTCGTCTCGTCGTCTTCGTCTTCTTCGACGATGGTCGTGTGGACGGTCGCCGTGTCGGTGACCACGATCGGCTCGCCGTAGAACGCCTCCCAGCAGCTCGTGCAGTACCACTGCCCGTCGTCGTCGAGGAAGAACGGGACATCGAGCGACTCGAGGCAGTGGCACTCGGCGCACGTTTTGCGGGCCTTCTTCGTCGGCAGCGCCGTCTTGGTGATGTGGCTCAGGTCCTCCAGAATCGACTGGCGCATCTGGTCGTACGCGTCGACCGCCGCCGCGTCGTCGGCCGCGCTGTGTTCGGCCGCGGCCGCGTAGCTCTCGTCCTCGGTCTCGTAGTTCTCGCGCCGGAACGGCGTAATGACCGACGCGAGCTGCGCCAGCATGTGGTTTTGCTGGCCAATGACCTCGACGGGCTTGTTCTCGGTCGCCGACCGAAGAATGCGCTCGCGTTGCTGGAGCGCGAGGTACTCTTCGTATTTTTTCGCTTCTTCCTTGACGCGCTCGAGGGCCTCGGCGAGCACTTGGGCTTCGCGCTCGGCGCGGGTCAGCGCCTCCTTCTTCTCGCCGCGCTTCTTCTCGGCCTGCGCGGCCACATACGCCTTGGCCGCGACGCGGATCAAGTGCGCCTCCTTCGTGCCATCGACAATGTCGGCGAGCGGGACACCCGCGAACGCATCAGTGAGCGGGTCGAGCCCTTGCGACGTCGCGACGAGCTGCTTGGCCACGTCGAGTGGGATCTGCTCGCGCTTGGGGGTCGCCGCGCGGGGCGGGTCAACGTCGCGGGCGCTCGGGCGGAAGCGCAGGATCGCGGGCTTGGGCGTGTGCTTGAGGAGGCGGAGGGTGCTCGTGTACGATGCGCCGTCGACGGCTTTGCCGTTGACCGAGACGAGGATGTCGCCGACGTGGGCGTTGTGGAGGCCGCTGGCACTGCCGCGGCCCGTGAGGCGCGAGATCATCGGAATGTCGGCCGGCGTCGGCTTGAGCTTGAGACCGAGCTCGCCTTCGCGCCACACAATGTCATAGAGGCTCTTGTCGACAACGTTGGGGCGCATGGCGTCGAGGACAACCGACGCCACCGACGGCTTCTCGGCCTCGTCCGGGCGCCGGCG